CCTGTTCCTCAGCCGGTCACACCTCAGGTGAAAGTGAAGCAGGTGGTGCAAAACCACTATGGAACCGTCTACAGGACCTCCAAGAGCAAGAACGTGTTCTTTTGTTTGTGTTTGTTTGCTTGTTCAAGGAACAAGTCTAGACACAAAACAGTAGCAACATTTTGCAAGAGTCTACTCTACCACTGTACAACATCCTCTAGCATAGCCTGTTGAATGATGTTGAATGAGGGCAGGATCGGGCGCAGGATAAGGTATCGATAGTTGTTTTGATTGGAGGGGAGTCCGGAGTTTCTTGACGCACAAATATTTATTGGTTGGTGGTAGTTGTTATTTATTCTTTCCTCCAAAAGCAACTCATCCTGCTCCCGGTATCTTTATACTCCACTACACAGGCACACTTGTCTCGTCTTTGTGTTTTGCGTACTGAGTCCTGAGCCAGGAAGGTGCCAGTAAATCACTACGCAACTCAGCAGCAGCTACGAGTTAGTCAGTTAGTCTGCCGACTTGTTTCAGAGGATCAGTGTATTTACATTCCCATGCAAGGTTGACAACAAACAGAACTTGTCATCGACAAGAATCCAGAGGAAACACTGCATTGCGAAGAGATCGCATCCTTAGCCCAAGTTTGTTTTTTTGGTAGAAGACAGACATGCTGAGAGGTTTCTAGATTGATATTTGTAGAAGTCACACCGACAGAGTGCCGAATGCTGAACGTTTCTTTGCCTCACACAGTCGTTCTTCCAAAGGTTGTGCCTTCAACTTAAAACCTTGCGAGATTGTTGTCATGAACTTGGCAAGGTCCATGTGAAGACGCCTGAGCAGCCTCCCATTGTCCACACGGTGAAAGTGATGGTGGGAGCCTAGGGAAAAGACTCTGAAAGGCTTGAGTTGGAGATAGTTGGAGTGTATATATATATATATAGTAGCGAAACAACTTCTATGATTGCAAGATTTAGAAGTTTCTATAGTCGCAGCCTCAAACACTCTTCACCTTGTCCGGCCAGACTCCTGCAAAAACATACTCGTGCGATGGCCTCGGCGATCAACCAGATCCAAGCTGGAGTGAGAAGCATACCCGGTGGTGCTGCTACAAGTATGGTTCGGCGGGGTGGGCGAGCTTGATCGTTGCGAGCAGAGTTATTCTGCCAGCGTTGGTTGTGCAAGGGCATGTGAAGGAGTGTATGTCATGCTTGCGAAGCATCCACAGGATTTGGTAAGTCCTGACAAGTTGAATTTTTTTTCCCTGGCATAGGCTGAAGACGTGACATGTTTATGGTTGTTGATTCATCGTGTATTCTCTATTCTCAGAACTTTGGCAGACAAGAGAATGACTCCTGTGGAGGGTAAACCTCCGGCCATTCCTGCTCCCTGCGGCAGTTCTGCCCGAAGACGGTGGTCGATAAGAACATCTACCACACTGTGGTAAAGACACAGCAACTTGTTTGGAAAGGGTCCACATAATTATGACAACGACCTATCACTGGTGCCTTGTGTTCGACATTTAAGGCCTGTGCGCGTACCGGTACCCGAGCCCATGCCCACGCATGCTCCCGCTGCTGAGCTGCATCTTGCATTCTTGGGAGTGTTTGGTAGAGAGGTTTCCATCATTCTGAATTGTTCTTGCAGCATTTCCAGCTCCCGACCGGCCTATCACCAGTCCAAGCTTTCAGTATTTCCACGATGTATTCCTCCTCAGTGTAGTGTTTGTTGATCGAAGATCATTGCGGTATTGCGCAAAGACTTTGCTCCGAACGTTTTTCCTTTTCTTGTCCTTCTTCAATTCCCGCTTCAAACCTGCCCAGATTGTGAAGACCATCCGCCACACCTACCACGTGCCAAGCCCACCTCAGTATGTGCATGTACCAGTGCCCGGACCCACTGTCGTGAAGCCTGTCGGGAAGCCCAGTCAATAGAGACTTTGAAGTGGATCACTCTGCCAGTGGTTGAATCACGTGTAGGCAATGACAATGATGGACATTTTTTTGAAGGTTTCCTGTCGAGGAGCGAAGGCATGAATGATTCAACAATGGCGCCAATCGACCTTACTCATCCTTAGCTGACCTTTTTGTCTCAAAACTGTGCTAGGTTGTTGTGCCGGAATCCGTGCCTGTTCCTGTGCCACAACCACCCAAGGCGGGATCATTTCAGCCGATACTACGTTTTGTTATGTTCGGTTAATGCTTCGGGACAGTCAGCTCGTAGCTGCTGAAGTGGTGACGCAATCCTCGTCCATCCTTGTCCTTGGTCCATTCTTGGACAGAAGAGCGGATTGGTTTGAATGATGCTGCAGAACATGTTTGACAGGTGAGCAACGTCATAAACCTCTATGGAAGAATTTAGGTAGGACTTAAGATTATGAATCGTTGCAAAAGGAAAACTGCAGTTGGGGAAAGCTTGGCGAAAGGTTTGGAGAAAGGCTCTGAATTTTTGATGAAAGGATTTTGTTGCGAAAGGGTTGGCGAGAGAGGTTAACTGTACAAAGCATGTCATCCAAAGATTCCTGATAACCAGGCGAAAGGTTGGCGAAAGGTTCGCGAAGATGTGGCGCAAGCAGTGGTTGCAGATTAGGAATGATTCCCCTTTGCTGATATATTTACTTAGATGTAAGTAGCAGAAACTCGGCGAAAGGGTTAGCGAAAGAGGTTGTTGGGTGAAGTGGGTCGGCGAAAGCAAAACATGCAGCCGCGAAAGCGTTGCGAAGGGATTGGCGAAAGGTTTTTATAATATTAATAAATGTTCTGGATGGTTTTTGACACCGCTCAGGTGATTAACGTGAAGAAACCCTACACGGTGCACGTTCCTGGCCCCAGCCTTTCTGCCTGCAATAGTGTGACACAATGATTTATATAAGTGAATGATGGGCACATGATGGCTAGAATGTATGTATATATGCACAATATGTATATACCCGTATTCTGCAGGGACAAACACATGACGATCCAATGTTGGGTGTGGGATATTTCGCAGAGCACACTTTGTTATTCAGGGAGACTACGTTCATTGATTTAGGACCCGTGAAGGCAGCTTTGGTTTACTTTGATGCTTGTATTAGCCTGGTTGGCGACTTTGGTAGAGACGGAGTACTGTAACGATGGTTCTGCAAAACTTCAGCAGCTTTGGATAGCTGAGATCACTACGTGCACGTGCCCATCCCTTCTCCACCACACATTGTGACAAAGTACCACACCAAGTGGAACACTGTGGTGGACCACGGCGATTCGACTTCTACTTACGCAGCTTGACATGCACATTTTTTTGAAGCATTTTTTGCTTGCACACTCTTCAGACCGTGCTCGAACTCCTATTCTCCATTCCAGGTGTACGACTAGCATGCTGGCAAGGTGAGCAGGTTTGCTTGATTTGAGCCAAAAGGAGGCTGAAACTGACGAAAGATCTGCGTAGATGCAGAAGGCTTCAAAGTTTGCGCTGCTGAAGTGGCACCTATTTAAGGACTGCGACACCGGAGCCGATGATGATTGGCATTCACTTTGGTCACATGCCAAGTTCCTTGGACCTATATTTGGCTTTGCTTTTTGTTTGAAATTAACTGGTCCAAACTACGAACAGCAAATATACAAACAATGCTGTCGTGAAAAGGCTTCAATACAGCCACACAATGCCAGACAGGGTATCTCGGATACATAAGGTTGTTTGATGTTTGCTGAAGTTGTACAAACTACTTTCACACTTGCCACGGTATTTGTTAGAGGCGCGGATTGGGGTTTAGGTACCTTGGTGGTGCAAATGTGACGCGACGATGCTGGGTTTTCCATTGCCGTGCTGCTGCTTTGGCAGACTGAGGCAGCGTTGGTGCTGCAGCCACAAATTCGTGGGCTGCCCTGGAAGCGTTTCGACTGGTCTTGACTCCGTGGGTTCGACACTTGCTGGCGACAGCTTGGCCTCGAGCTTTGGCTCCGATTACGGATCTCTGGGCTCATCCAGCTTGACCTCGGGCGCTTCCGATTCCGATTTGAGTGCATCTACTTTGTCCTCCGGTGCCTTGAGCTCGTCTGACTTCTCTTCTGGCTTGAGTACCCTCGGAGACGACACGCTTCCACTCAAGAAATGAGCCAATCATTGGAGTCATTGGAGACTCGGTATTCAAGTTTGTCCAGACAAACAGTTGATTTGACTTGTGATACTTGTGGTCCTTCCTGCTTGAGAACATGCAGGGTCTTCGTTTCTGGGCCGTAGGACCAACACTACAGAACTACTGAAAAGCAAAGAAACAAACGACTACAGCCAGCTAAACCATAACAGCTTGCTGCTGTGCAGGTTCATTGAGTATGGGACATGGGAAACTTGCTAAGCCGTAACGACGCAGTTTGCGTTTCTCACCAAAACATACCAAAACGATGTCCTTGGAGGTCCTTGGTCCTTGCGGGAACAGATGACTGTGGTGAAACAAAACCTCAAACATTCAACTAGCGCAACCTTGGATTTGATGGCTTTTGCTGCTTGAGGACTTCATTGGAAGACTTGCGCTGATTTGGTGGACAGCGTGCGGCGTGCGCCTTAGATGATTGATTCATGATCTTAAAGTCTTTCAGGCTGCACTACATGTCCATGTATCACACAGCGTTTCAGAGACACATAAGGGGAGCTGCGGGTTCATTTGGTTGGAACTGAAACCAACTGACTCGGCAAGGCTGAGCACCATCCTTTGGCCTGCATGCCTGGAAGTGAAGCGGCTGGGCCCGGGCCCTTTCTTAATTCCTTTGTGCCACGAGCTAGCGTACCCTTTTGTCGTTAAGACGATGCAGCAATTCAATTAGTCATAATTAGCTACCGTTTTGGAATCTTAAGAATCTGAAGGATAACCTTGGAGACTTCACCTTTGCTTTTTGACCTTTTTGCCCGGCTGCTCGATTTGCTTCCTTGCATTGCATGCTTGGGAGAGCTATGCAGCAGAGTGAAACCGAATTATATTTCGAGCGGCTTGGTTCGGCAACTTGCACGTGGCCAGCCACAGCGAATCTAGAAGCCTCAAACACTACAGTGAGTTGTTTAATCGTTGCGGTTACTTCCAGGTTCCATGCTTTGTGTCAACCTTCCAAGCCAAGCCAAAGGTGACTCAAGAAGTGGCATCAACAAGGATCAATAGCCCCACCACTGGTAGATTGAAGGAAAGACAGCGCAAGTGTGTTAAACTTATAGGAATTATGAGTGTCGAACGGAATTATATACATGGAATTACTGTACCCAGTGCTTTTGTACAACCAGTAGACATAGGGATTCTAAACCTTCTGTAATCCTTCCACGAGTGGAGCGCACATAGTTTGCAAAACCTTTTGATCTTATGTGTTTGCAAACATTGTTCGGAGTTGCGAACAACTTAGCATACTTACCAGCTTACCCACTTTGGGGGTTTGCAAGGGATATTTGTTTCGACAATAGCTACACACTTCTCTCACTCGACGTGTGGTTTTGACGAGCTGATCACCCCCAATTCTGGGCTTCCCAGGTCCCGCAAAAGTTACCCACGCAACATTGATCACAGTGATTACATTGTTTGTTGTCATGGAGTCATCGCCTTTAGCTTTCGTTTTTGTGCAAAACCGGTGGCCTTCGCAAGTTGCTAGGGCCTGACCTCATTATCGATTTGGAGCCAGGTGATGCCAGGTGTTTCAAAGCAATGCACGA